GTCCCTGCCCATGGCAGGGGGGTTGGAACTAGATGGTCTTTAAGGTCCCTTCCAACCCAAACCATTCTATGATTCAAAACACCTCTATTACACTGTTATGGCTGCTGCTGCTGCTGTAGCATTTATGGTGTGTCCTCTAAATGTTGTGAAATATGAGTCAAATATGTAGAAGTGCAATTTTTAACCTCAGCTGTGATTTTCCTAACAATTGGTGATAGCTTATTCTCTTATTTGTCTTTAGGTATTTTCCTATTTAGTAGTGTGTAACTGTGAAAGGTGACGGCAGAAAACCCCTTATAAATATACTAATTATACCAATACAATATTAATTTTTTACCTGAATTATTGTATCACATTAAAATTTCCCTGTGTCTTGCACTGGTTTGCCATGCTCTCAGACATTGCATAGGCATAACACACATTTACACTAACAAGAAACCCATATGGAAGAGCTGCACAAAAATGTCAGGAACATGAAAAACACATTCTTGCTCTTCATTGAACTCCCTTGTAGAGGTACGTCTTACATTATGGAATCCTGGTCTGGTTCAGTACTGATCTGAATTAATAGACAGCAAGCTTTAGATCTCTCTTAAAAAGACAAAAAAATAAAGGAAATGGCACAGTATAAGTGTCAACCCAGACACTTTTCAAGTATCTAAACATAGGCGCTCAGTGCCATTTGAGACACAACATGATCCCCAATACATCCATCCAGAACAGGCAGATATGACAATACCTGCAGAAACCTTGTCGCCATCTGGAACAGCACCTGAAGGCAGTATCTCAAACAGTGCAAGATATCTAACTTCAGACATGCCCCAGACAACCTGCACTGCTAATACTCTCAGAAACGTGATGCACACACCACCCTAGCTGTCAGCTAGCATTAGAAAAACTGCTTTCATGTACCTTGGCAGCATCTTGGAGATTTGGTAACCGCACTTTGATAACTTGCTGTAATTCCTCTGTCCGTCGCCCCAGTTCCAGCACTTGCTGTGACATGCCTTCTGTACAGTATACACTTGCCAGATACTCAATCCTCTCACTCATGGCCTCAAGATCACCATGAATCTCTCCGGACTCATCAAGCATAGTCTAGATGGAGATATAAACAAATTGAATGCCATAGCTGAGCTTCAGATTAAACGTATCTTTAAGGATATTTCTGGTGTGTTAAACTCCTCAATTTGTACACATCTGTAAGCATATGACTAAGTTCTACTGATTTCTTGTAAGGCTTAGGCAATATGCTTGATTCTGAGTGTATGCTGAAGTGCTTTAGCTTATGGAGACTGGAAAACAAAAGAATAAGACATGAAGCTCCAGCAGCGGTACTTACCAACACATTCATTTTAGTGTTTTGCTATACACACTTGCCTGTAAAAATATAATATATACAATTTATGGATGGCATTTGTTCTGGAAGCCTGATGTACCTAATGGGAAGCAGCAGAAAGCCCTTGGGTGCAGTGTCACAGCAGGGCAGCATTCGTTAATACTGTTTAAAAAATAGCTACACAAAAGTGTTCTGTGGGTTGGCATTAGTTAAGCCTGTATGCCCATCAACATCTGAAGCAAGGAAAAAGCCATAACAAAAACAAACCAGAAGTGCTCTCTCCCAGCTATCCTCAGGATAAATTACCTGAAGGTTCCTATTCAGAATAAGAAGGTGTGACATACTACATTGCCTCGGTCTAGGGGAATGCAACTGACTGCAGCTGACAATTAACTAATGTAAAATGCAGTCTTATTTTTGGCATTAGTGAGACTTACAGTGCTTTGATTTTTTTCAAGTGGTCATGTAACACTGGGAAGCTGGAACCTCATCAAACTGTTCCACTGATCCCACACGTACACATTACACACATGGACACCTACAGAACAAACTCCGCTGTCACAGGGACAGTACATCACTCTGATGTGACATAGAACATGTTCAGGAAGAAAAATTTTAGAGGAATATTACCTGCAATGAGATACTCTGTGTGACAGAATCACAGTGTATAGACACACTATTCAATCCAAAGCTAGTATGAATCCAATGTACTTGAATAAACATGGAGATCAACTTTGAATCATGTAGGCAACATGATATATTCAACAATATATCTTAATTTCAGTCTTCAAAACAAATTTCCAAAATAAGTTAATCATCTTTAAGACTTGGGGCAACAGTCAAAGAAACCTAGCATTTTAAGACTTTCTCCTCAAGGAAAGGAAGAAAAAAGGTATAGGAAATAAAACCTCACTGCTTAGAAAATAACTGTTTTAATAGAGTGCCCTTTAAAATTCCACAACTTATATAATCACCTGATAGGCTTTAAACTGATCACGAAGCTGAGAGGAAGAATTCCATGTTATACTACCATGCACTAGGATATTTGCTTTCTCAATCCATTTCAATATGAACTCCAGCATCTCATTGTATTCTTCCAAGTGTGAAGCAGCCTGGATATAAAAGAAAAATCCACTTAAGCCTAAGATGTAGTTCTGTACAGTTCTTAGAGAATGATACAATTAATTTTATTTCATTTACTGTTTTTAACTTGGGGATTGTTTTAACAGCTTTTCCTTACTGTTGAATATAATTTGATTACTTCTGCATTTACAGAGTTAAAATAGGTCTGCTTCCAGTAACAAGCATAACTGTTTCAGGGGAAAAAAGGCACTATAAGGATGTAGGTCGCACTGGGAAAGTACATTGATGCTCAAATATACCCGTAGAGGGTACACTGCACATATTTCAGCCTTGCACATAAGTTTCAAAATAAGTAAAGTTCTTGTGCAATTTGTGGCTCACTGTAAACCTCCTTCGTGTCATTCCTTATTTTTCTTTGTCTCTTTCTACGTCATCCCACAAATCACCTTTTTTAAAGGCCTGTTTTGTTCACTCAGTCTGTCATATTTCCAAAAAAAGAAATGTTGTACTTTTTTCAAAATACAGGACAAAAGCTCTGCTTTCTGATTCATCCAACTTCTATTTAGCGAAGTACACATCAGTTTCAATTTTCTTCTCACTTAGCAGGAATAATTTCACTGATTTTTATGCAATTGTCCTGTATGAAGGATGAATCAAATCCTGGGTGACTGAGCTGTATTTGCATGCAGGTTGCCCTTACTGGCATTTTTTTTTTTTTACAGTAGGAAGTGGATTTCTTGGTTCTGAACAAAAATATCCTAATGGTTAAATCCCTTCACCAAGTACATTTGACTGAACTCTCACTTTGATAGTAATTTTATCTCTCTCTTAAAAAACAACTTATCAGACGAAACTGAAAACAATATAACAAAATAGTTATTTTTTTTAAGCCTAGAGAAGATTCTTTACGCGTGCAGAAAAGAGAACTCCTAATTTATCAGGGTATTGATGGCAGAACCATAGAAAATCCATTTATTTGCTTTTAGCTAGACTTTTCTGGGATAACAACAATTAGCAAAAAAATACATACGAAGGAGTTTCAGGAATTTGAGCCACAGGGGAAGCATCTTTATGAATTCTGAACTGTTGCATAAACATTCTGCATTATCAGGGGCATTGTATCTAGGCT